AGGTTCGCATTAGCATACATTTATAAGAGTGGGGAAAAGTATATGCATTTTTTAATAGTTTTTTGAATATGGCTCTTTGAAGACGAAAAAGCAGACGAAAAGCATAGACTTACAAAATGACTGATAACTAAATAACTAATCAAAATTTTTGAAAAAGAAAAAAAATACTTCTTCATTATGTCAAAACACAATTATGGGCCGAGTTTCGTGCCCGGGCGAGGCTTCTGGGGCGATATATTGTGATTACAGACACACACACACACACACACACACAGCCGCTTTTATTATTATGGTATAGATATTTTATTGGTAATTAAAACCAATCAGTTGCCAACTAGTTATAATAAACTTAAGTCACTCTAGACGAAAAAACTATTAGATTTTTATTAAAAACTTTTTATTAAGAAAATTTATTATTAATTTACTATTAAATACTAATAAAAAATTATTTAACTAAATAAAACTATTGAAAGCACTATTATAAACTTTATTTTTATAATATTGAAACCCAGGAGTACAGACTTAACTAATGCTCAAATATGCAATTTATGTACGTTTGGAAGGCCTATCCATTGTTGGCAGTCAACCTTTTAACTTCTATATATCAGTTGACCATGCATTGTCGGTTAGCGTTTTTGAGTTTTCCCCCATACCAACTTAAACAACCATGATTAATGAGTACAAATTTTAATATCGCAATGCATTATCAAGTCAAAAACATATCGCGATAATTTTCCTATTAATCGATAAATTCCACAGTGGTGTCAATATTTTTGTTATCCAACTAAAATATAGCAACATTCAGAAAAGTATCATATTCAATAATTATCACTTTGTATAACATTCAGGATATTGCCATATTCAATGCACCTATGTCTATTATCGGTAGTCGGTGACCTGTACAGATCAGAACCTGGTGTTGCTCTACTTGTTGGCGAACTTGGCTTTATCATATTAATAACCCATTAAGTGCTGAAATTGTTTTTTATAAAGTTTATGATATTTCCCTTTTAAAGAAAGTAACATAAAGTTTGAAAATTTAAAATTCGTGATCAAAAAAGCTGTGAACAATGAATTACTATCAATAATTAATATTAATTGATATTAAAATGCTTTTGTAATAAGAATTTAATATGCTTTAAAAACCTTGAAATTGAAATGCCATTTGGATGAATGAGAATAAGTATATTTATATCATCCAAATAATCAAACATTTCAGAAATATTACTGTTGAGAAAATAATTTAAGAATTTTATATGATGATTTGAGTAAGCTTTTTGTCAATTAACCAGAATATGCAATCAAAATTTTTCTATCACCCTTCAATTTTCTAAACTAAAGTGTACTACTAATTTTAATTGTTATTTTGAATAAGTTGGATTATATAACTGACGGTGAAATATGATATTTCTTTAATGTTTGACAGCTCATGTTAGCCCGCTCATTAATTTCTAGCACAATTTACTTGAGCACTTGGAACTGTGATTTCAGCGAGCTTTCTTCTTCTTCTTCTTCTTCTTCATCCTTATCCCCAAGGTTAGCAGGGCTAAACAATGTCCATGAAACTCATGACCCGGAGGAAGTCGACCACCAAAATTGGGTTATTCAGAATGTCCCCTTTGTTCAGACCAAGACAGTCCAGGATAGGTTGGGGAGAAGCCTGCATGTTGTGGCACCTGGGGCAGTTTGGGTAGGTTTTAACACTGCCCTCGAAAGAAAGGGACTTAAGGTATCCGCTGATAAGCCTGGTAAGTGCCATCTGTTTCTTCCGATTGCACCGAATGTTGAGTGCACCTCCTGGACGGGTGCTCTGGTACCAGTGATGTTTGGGGGGTACGAGCCAGGAAACATTGACTTCTTTTTTCTTTTTTGATGCCAGTTCCATGAAGGTGAGTGAACTTGGATTCATCAAAGTTTCTTCTGTCCCCCTTCTTAGCCAGCGTGTCGGCGATGTCATTGCCCAGTACCCTAACGTGAGAAGAGATCCATTGGAGTTGGACTTCACGCAATCGTGCGAGGATTTTAAGTTTGTGCAGGATTGAAGCTCCTGTTTTGTCTCTCACCTTCCTCCAATGCGATAAGTACTGTATGGAACTGAGACTGTCAGAGAGTATCCAGATGTTATTGTGATCCTGTAGTGTTAGAAGAGAATCCAGAGCAGTATCAATAGCAATGAGTTTACTTCTAAAAACTGAGCAGTAATCAGGATTCCTTTTGGAGATGTTAAGGGAGTAATTACTTGATTTAATGTAGACACCGTTGCCAGATGATGTGTCCGTCTTGCTTCCGTCTGTGTGCACCAGTATTGAGTGTTTGGGGATGGAATTTATAACCTCCAAAGCAAGTTGCTTAAGCAATACCGGGTGATCCAATTTCTAGTTAACTTGTGATGAAAGGTGTTGATGGAAATAAACACCAGGAAGTCCATCAGTTGGGTCAATAATTTGTTTATTAAGGCAATTCTCAACATTACCAGCAAGAACGTTGTTAACTACGGCCTAGCTAAATGGGCTATTCTTCTTTAGTCTTTGGTTACTGCTCCACTTTTGTAGATAATCTGCTGTTCTGTTTTGGTGTCCAAGGCTAGAGAGCTTGTTGAAGTATTTAGTTAGGAGATAATTTCTTCTGAGACCTAGGGGCTGGAGGTCGGCCTCAAACAAGACGATGTCATTTGGGCAACTGTTTCTTAGTCCAGTAATAATGCGAGCAACAGAAAGCTGAACTTGTTCAGCGAGCTTTAAAGGGATTTAATTTTTCTCTGGAGAGTTCGTCTGCTTCCATTTTTTAAATATTTAGTAAAAATTCTGTTTCCGTGACAACGCAAGATTTAATTTATAGCAATAGTTTTCATCAATGAAATTTCGTATTTCTGGTACTGTTCCCGAACAACATAACGCTGGAAAGGGGTGATTGCTTACAAACCACCCCTTGAAAATTTGCTGAAACTGCTTGAAAACTGCTGAAAAAAGCACGATGCAAATCGGAACTCTCGTTCTCGAGTTATTAGCTAACATCTAAACAGGCTTTAACTTTTATATAATAGAGAAGAGTTAAATTTAAAAGTATTGATATAGAAGGTAAACATTTTAAGTCATTAAAATTTTTAATGGTTAAATTTCGAAATTTTTTAAAAATTTTTTTAGAATGCATAGCATAATATTTGTTAGAAGCTTACTTTGTATGTTATAAAAATTAAATATGCTAATGAACAGTCTTCTACAATACATTACAATTGGTATAACAGCCAGCACAAGAAAGCATAATCACATTCATTCAAGAACACTTTCAAAAATTATCATACATTCGCATTGAACTCTTTTATGCATGCATAAGTAAAAACAAATTATAGTTTAATGATTTTCCTTTGGATGTCTACTTACCTAACTATATGGAGCTTGTATTTATAAAAACAAATAAAAACAAATTATTGCTTAATGATTTTCCTTTGAATGTCTACTTACGTAACTCAACGGAGCTTGTATTTATAAAAACAAATTATCACTTTATGATTTTCCTCTGAATGTCTGCTTGCGTAACCATATGGAACTTGTATTCATAAAAAAAAATTTTGCTTAGTGATTTTTCTCTTGAATGTCTACTTACGTTATCCTATGGAGCTTGTATATATAAAACTAAATTATCACTTTATGATTTTCTTTTGAATGTCTACTTACATAATCCGATGGAGCTTGTATATATAAAAACAAATTATCATTTTATGATTTTCTTTCAGATGTCTACTTATGTAGCTCTATGGAGCTTGTATTTATAAAAATAAATAATAACAAGTTATCGCTTTATGATAACTTGAATGTCTACTTACGTAACCAAATGGAGCTTGTATTTTATACGAACAAGAAAGATCTTTGCTATAAGAACCTTTGTCATAATTTGGACTTCTTATTTCGCCTGGTTTTGTAGCGTCAATCTTGAGTTCTTTATCACAATTGTTAGCTACAGCTTCAAAGAACAAAACAAAGTATTGACTTAAATTTTAATTAAATTGCATAAATAGTGACAATAGGGGGAAAATGAAAGAAAAGTTTTCTTTATTTTTTAACCCTTAACATTTTTATGTTGAAATATTGAGATTGATTTATAAAGTGAATTATTTATGAATTGAGATTGGTTTATAAAATTAAATTCACTTAGTTTATAACTCATTTGATTTGTAAAACTATTTCTGACGTATAGGCGGGAGGGGATTTTTCAAAATTTTACTTACTGTAAGGAATTGGGCATAAGCTATGCCTATAAAAAACTGAATTTGTAAATTCTGTGTAATTAAATACAAATATATTCAATGAGAAAGGATCATATGAACAAACGCCCAACATAAAATAGCCTCCTATTGTCAGCTTTTCCTTTAGGCTTTGCTCTAATATCTATTGTTAGTGAAATTTAAGAAAAAAAAAACTTCTTTTTTAACTTTTAATAAACTACTTTCAAAAACTACTACTACTTTAAACTACTTTTAAAAAACTTCTTCTATTTCCCGAAGTTTTCAGCAGACGGATGCATAGGGGAGAAATAACTGCACATCAAAAGTCAAAAATTAATAAATTTTGGTGATAAGAAAGGCATTTTGAAGGGTTAAAATATGACAAGATATTACTTTGAGTAATAATAATTTTCCTTTTAATTTTTTGTAACTATAATCTTTTCTTGTGGGGGGGGATCATTTTAACTGTATCTTTCTGTTTGTAGATCTCCTAATATGACTTGTTTTTCTCAGGGAACTTTTGACTCATGTGTTTTTAGATACAATTGTATTTCTCTGGATTTTCCTTTTTATTTTAATCAAAGAATTTTTGAAGTATTGTGGTTCTATTCTTATTTTTTCTTCCATTATGGGGACCTAGGGACACAGGTAGTTTTTGGTTGAACCGCTGACTACAGAAAGGCTCCAGTGTGAAGTACTGTCCCCTGGAAAAGTACTGTTTTTGCTTGGTTTTGTTTGGTTTTTATTTAAGTTCTACCATATTTATTTAAATTGTTTAATATGACACAATAATAATAGTAATAATAACAGAAAATATGTTTAAATCATCCTATGCATATTTTTTTTGGAATGTTAGCAACTTATGTATCAAAAGACTGCATGTAAAGATATTTCTAATTTATTTAATTGTAAGGAAGAAGAAAATGAGCGTGTTTAAAGTGTATTTTTACAAAAAAAATCACATATATCTTAATTTTACTACTTGAGATTTTGAACCTCAAGATTCATAGAATCTTTAAATATTAAGGGTTTGACACTCAATATTTTCCCCTTCCTTCTGTTTTTTCTGTCTACACCAATATTCCTGGAAATTATGATACGAAAAATCATCTTCCAGTATGCTTATCATAATTCTTAGGAATATTTTTGGGTAGTTCTTTTTTTCTCTTTCTCAATGTCCACCCGTATATTAAACTTTGTCATTCGGGTTCAAGAATTACAGGCTTGGATGGTCACTCTCTCAGGAGCATCATAGACGGTGGGCCAACATTGCTTCCACAGTAAGAAGGACTAAGAGTACAAATATGAGAATGAATTCCTTATCCTGTATTCCAGGCCGAAACCTTTCTGACTTGAGGTCTTCTCCCTGACCACCCCACAGACCGGTCAACGTAAGTAGGTAGATTGCTCCTAAGAAAATTTTCTTGGTTCTACATGGGAAGTATGCAAAACTTTAACTGATCAAACTGTTTTTGTTTATTAACTGTTGCTGTCAATAAATCATACTACTCCGTTGTGAGACCCCAAGCTGGCAAAAAAAGTATTGAATTTAAAAATTGCACTACACTTCTATCAGGTACAACAATTGTCGAGTATGAGAGAATTTAGAACGCGTCAGAAACTTTTGGAGGAATTTCTAACCAATATAAAAGAGTTCTTTAACAGAAAATGAATGTATAGGTATACTGTAAGTTATTTTTTGCAATTTCAGTTGTGAGGGGTGACTAGGGAGTGGGGGTTAGAGTAAAAATTTTTTAAAAAAATTACTGCGCAAACAAAGTTTTAAAAATTTGATTACAGGTTTATTTTGAATTTCAAAATATTTAATTCTATTTAATTTAACTCAAGAGATTATCACTTTCATCGCTGAAACCTTGTGATAAATTGACATATTTAAAATCGTCACTCATGATCGGATGATGTTTTTAAAACAATTTACAAAAACACTTAGCAAAAATTAATTTACGGTTATCTGTTTACTTTTATGATATTTAATTCAATAAAAATGGATTTATTACCTTTTCTACACCAAAAAAACTGCTTTATAGCAATAAGTTCCTGACAAACTTATGGCTTATCGTCAAAATGCACAACGTGGTTTGCATAAGAAAAATGCTGTTTAGTGGTGTTCACATCTACGGTAAATAAATTAAATTATAATCTAGCCTATCCATTTTTACTAGTACGGATCTCAAACGGGCTTTAGAAATAAAATGCTCGTGTGATTGCCAATGTGAGTGCCCGTGCCGTGACACAAGCTGCCCCTGTGAGTCACGGGGAAGTGCAAATTTGCCGGTAAACATTCGCCGGTGTCAGGCGCGGGCAAATGCGTTAAAGGGTTAAGTTTAACGAATGAGTATTACGAGCATTTAAAACAACTGTATCGATGAATCTCTTACCTTTAATTTGATCTAGCATAGATTCCTCAATCCATTTTTCAGTGTCATCACTAGTAGACCGAATCGAACGATATAGCGACGGTTCAGTTTCAGCGTAATAAGTACAAATTGCTAACAATATCGTGAATATAAAGAAATACTGCTCCATAGCGTAAACTTATGAACCGTGACTTTCAAGTTAGACTCCAAAAAAATGCTTACATATAATTAGGATGCGAAGTATTTAATCTTATCAGAGAAGGAAATATTTCCGGCTATGCCAGCAAATTAATTTAACTAGCTGTTTTCATAGCCTTGACCACGTTTTTCAATTTAAAAAAAAATAAGCTTTTTATGCTTTTACAGAGAAATATCTTTAAAGACACTGTATACAAGATATAAAAATACTGATAGAAGTTCAAAAACACACCAGATTACTAATTAATATACACTGAAATTAAATAACCTACAATTTCTATAAAAGGATATATCAGAAAAATATTTTTCTAAGAATAAACAAGTACTTGAACAACCAAAATTGCATTTTGTTAAAACCAGCAAAATAATATGCGTAGATCTTTTTAAATAAATGTTATTAACTTCCATTCCTTTTAAATTTAATAAATATTTTCAAATCAATAAATGTATAGAAGTACGAGCTCTCATCTAATTTACATAAGAAAAGTGAATTTGACTTAAATATGCTAGTATAACAAAAGAATCTTCTTCTTTTATTGCATACATTAAATATTTAACTTATTAAAGATAAAGCACTTATTGAGTAGGAAAATAATNCAGCGACCATTAGCTCCAGAGTCAAGCACTTTTACCTCTGGGCCAAGAATCCGTTTTGTTAATGCACTTAATTAGATTAAATGGAGAATAGAATTTAAACATAATTTATACTTTTATCAAATAAATTTCTCTGGTAACTGCATCTTAATCGATAATAAAAAATATTTCTATTTCCAGTTATTAGTTCAAAAACATACCAGATAACAAATTAGTGTATACTAAAATTAAATAACCTATAATTTCTATAATAATAATTTAATTCTAAAATTAAATAACCTATAATGACCTATAATAGCAGAATTTTGTTTAAAAAAAAAAACAGTACTTAAACAACGAAAATTACATTTTGTTAAAACCAGCTAAATAATATGCGTAGATATTTTTAAATAAATGTTATTAACTTCCATTCCTTTCAAATTTAATAAATATTTTCAAACCAATAAATGTATAGAAGTACGAACTCTCATCTTATTTACATAAGAAAAGTGAATTTGACTTAAATATGCTAGTATAACAAAAGAATCTTCTTCTTTTATTGCATACATTAAATATTTAACTTATTAAAGATAAAGCACTTATTGAGTAGGAAAATAATCTGTTTCGTGACAATGACTATAGATTGTGATGTATATCACTGTTTACTAAGAATTCCCAACGTAGCCTGTTCTTTATCAGTGTTTTCATTTCAAGAAAAATTCTTGAATAAAGACTTATCAACGATTCTGATTATAAATAACGTTCAAAATGATGCATTTAAAGTATCAACTCTTTTGTTTAAAGCTTTAATGTCAAAAATATTTTGATACACAATACCACTTTTTTTATGCACATCTAATAGATAGTACACGATTTAAGTTTATGATAAGATGATCAATTTAAGTTGAAAACCTGTACAAGAATGATCAGAAATGAATAATAAACAAAAATTGTTTAGTTTACTGAAAATTTAGTTTAAATCGAGAGTTTTCCCTACGTAGTTTAAACGTGTTTATCTCTTCTATTTTTATTTCATGTTTCTGATTTAATTATAAGAAAAACTTTCCATGATTGAGAAATGTTTGGTTTATTAATATAAATTAATATCTGTATAATTTAGCTGTTCTCTGGACATTTATTTAAAATAAATTTTTTTATCAAATTAGAATTAAAAAATTAGCAATTTTTACTACACATACATTGCATCCTTTACTGAGGTTAAAATAGAACTGTGAGTAAACTGATCAAGATGACATTCGCAGTAAAATACACAATTTTTCCCCTTTCACAATGAATTGCTTTTATTATTCGAAATAGTTAGAATGTCTAAACCTTTGGACTTTGGCAACACGTTTCTCAAGTTAGTCAAGCTAAAAGTTATTAGAAAAAAAATAATATTTGTTTCATATTGACAAGCATGTTGTAGATTAAGGTGGATTATAAAACAGATATTTAAAAAAAAAATTCTAAGGCATAAACTTTAAAATTTGAAAGAAACGGCGAAAAATGGTAAAAAAATCTTAAAATATAAATGTTATTAATTTTCTCGAACGCCATTTATGCCCTATATATCTATATATATAAAAATCTCTTGTCACAGTTTTAGTGGTTAAACTCCTCCTAAACGGCTCAACCGATTTTGGCGAAATTTTATACGTATATTCAGTAGGTCTGAGAATAGGCTTATAACTATTTTTTTTTTCATTTTTTGGACAAATTTAACGTATATTTTAAATATATCTTTATTTAATCGTATTCGGATCCAAAAGAGACATAGAGACATGATAAATCATAAGTAATATTCATGCACGTTGCAACAAGTCATATTAAACTTTAATACTTATGCTCGCCCTTGAAAGAAGATCATCAAACATATTTGCAAGTATGTGAATGAAGGCAGTGATATGGCAGTATTTCGAGTCGAAAATACTGCTCTTCCAGTGAATAACAACGACGAAATAACGCTGTACCAAATTGGCCGGTACATCAGCTCCAATGAAGCTGTTTGGCGTAACTTTGGATTCCCAATTCATGATCCAACCGTTAGTCATTTAACCGTCCATCTTGAAAACGTATATCAGAGCGTATATTTCATGAACGTGTATTTCAACGTATATTTCAACGCGTATATTTCAACGCCACAGTGTTGAAACACTGTAAAATTATCACCTGGGATGAATGCACTATGGCACACAAACATTCGCTTTAAGCGTTGAACAGAACATTGAAATATATAAAAAACAATGACAAATTATTTGGCGGCACTCTGTTACTCCTTTCAGGTGATTTCAGACAAACACTTCCATTAGATTGGCATTTGCAATGACAAGGCCAAACAATGTCTGTTTTTGTCTTAGATTTGAGCACACCATGTTTTTCACACGGTGTGCTCAAATCTAAGCATTCATACGTGGATAATAAGCATTCATACGTGGCATGCTCTCGAGTGGGCAAACCATCCAATTTATTTGTGTTAGCTTAAGATGGAAAGACAAAAAATATTGTACACTCCATTGCACTAAGAGATTAATATTGTTGACTAATACTTTCAGAATTCGTTGTATATATAATTTATAAAAAAAAGTTACAATAAATTAAAAAAACTATTATTTGGTGTGCTGTTATTTTCACATTTTGTCACCGTTCACAGCGCTCCATGCCTCTTCCACTCATATACCACATACGCACACACTTACTATAAATAAAATGTATATTCATACTCTAGAAATAATTCATATGGCAAAACAACGTTTGCCGGGTCAGCTAGTATATATATATATATATCACAGCCAATTTTACAATTTTTGGAATACACGTGCCTTCTTCGAGTTTTATGCAATAATAATTTATTACAAAAACAATTTTCCACGAGAAGGTGGCTTCAGTTGAAATCTACCTTGACATACCCATATTACCAAATACAGGAGTTAAAGATTGGTAGATAATTCGACGTGTTCTTTTTGAGAATAGTGCAATTACAATACTATCATGATACATATTAAAATTTAAGGAAGTATTTTAACATGTAATAAGCCAAAAACCGCTTTAAGAAATATTTGATGCTTTCATCATGGATGTTTATTCAAAGGCGTAAAAGTTACAAGTAAATGTACAATCGCCTTTCCTTGCTTTTGAAAGGAAAACTAGAGTGCCTGTGGCAAATATTGATCGCAAAAGTAAGAGAAGTAAAGGATATTCCGTTATAGTACATTGTTTGGTTGACCAACGAACTACTAGAAAACCTACACGTGGAAGGAAAGAAACAAAAAGACTTAGAGAAAAAGAGAAAATAGGATACTAGGCCAAAATGTCTTATGAAATTATTTAGAGTAATATCGTAAAATCAACTTTAATAGTTTTTCTGAACGATTCAGTTATAAAGGTTCAGTCCACAAAAGAAAAAAAAAGACAATACGCTGAATTACTTTTGATCTAATGATCAGTTTTTCGCATATTATGATTCCATATTAAATTTTGTGGGCTTAATTTTTAATGCAATATATTAAAGTAACGAAATCAGACCCCATCAGGTATTTTCATTCTTTTTTTTATTGTTGGATTTGAATTTTCGGCATCAAAAATGGTGGGATAGGGTCAAAATCTGTTCTCAATAAATTAATCAAGAAGCAAAATCTGTTCTCAATAAATTAATCAAGAGAGATAATTCCATGCAAAAAATATTATTTAGTTTATTGCAAGAAAAAATATAGTATACCTCCCTGACAATAAAGGTATTCAAAGAATAAAATTTCCATCGTAAACTAATACATCGATTTCTTCTAAGGTAAAAAATAAGCTCCTTTGGTCTCTGCAAAACGAAATTAAGCACTTTTAAAGGCGCTTAAAGGTTTACGTGGAGCGAAGATTTCTTTCTGTCTTAAATATGCTTTTTATTGTGTGTGTTACAACATGTAAACTTTATAATTTGAAGCCTAATCTGGTATTATTAGAACACCCAAATGCGTGGCAATTCTGTCATTATTAATTTTAAGGAATGAAACAAATAAAGCAAAAAGGAACGAAAATATAAATAACAGATCGAAAGTAAGGACTCTTCACCACCTCAACTGTTCACCAAAATGGCGACCGTCTATTCAAATGATCGACGACAACCAATCTAAATTGAAAGTAGAACAGAGGTCGCGGGGAAAATTGTGTCGCTCGTTGAGCTATGTGTCCAGGGCTTTACCCTTTTCTAACCTCAGCAATGGTTGGGGTAAGGTTGCAAAAAAGACTATTGCTATGCACCAAAATGTTTGCCTTTCTTTTAAACACACTGTGCATACCAACCTATGGTTGATTGCAAATAAAAGTTCTTTGATTTTGAATGAGCTCCTGATCGGAGAGCTTTGCAAATTAGTGGAAATACTAAAGAATTTAGGAGCTAAATGACTGAAGTTCTTGGAGGATATGTTTTTGTGAGGTATAGGCATTT